ACTACCGTATCAATGGAGAAATGAAGAAAAACTTCAATAGGGGATACACATTTCACAAGATCTACAAAAGGAAAAGTGATCTTTTTCTTGAATTATGAGAAACTGCCTTGGCAGCATTTTTTAAACAAAGCTTCAAAACTGTAACAAAGAGCTTTTTGGTAACCACAGCAGTATTTTTTTAAAAAAATCATAAGGTGTTTGGGGTGCACTTTTAATGCACTCATTTCCCAAATGATATGGAGAAAGTTAACATTTTAAAGACAGAAGCTTCTGTCCATACATTAATTAGTAACCTATCTCAACAACCTAACATCTGCATGGTTTCTGACAATTTACAAAGAATGCTCGCATGTATTATCTCATTTGATCTTACTTAGAAAAAAGTACAGCATTATGCCTGGAAAACAGACAAAACTCAAAGCAGGTTTATCAGATTTTCTATACATTCTTAAGTTTTTAAACTTTGACATAAAACTTTACAAGCCACCAAGTAGGATGATATTTCTAGAGATAAATCAGTTCACCTAATACTAACAAGAGTTTCAAATGGCCATGTGCTATAAATGCTATGAAACTACTTTTATCTCTATGGAGTTATTGTTAAGTGTTACTAATGGACATATCATCAGCAATGATCTATACCCACAGATATAATTTTACTTATATTTCAAGAATCTCAGTCTTTGGAGGCCAATTCAAATACATCAACCATATGTATTTATAAAGCCGATTACCTAAGAATTTACCTATTAGGATAACTGTCCCTAGATTTGAGAAAAAAATAAACACAAAAGTATAAAATTTTCTCCATACAGTATCTCCCTTTCCAAAATCTCAAGTAACTCTTCCAAAATCTCAGGTACTACTTGTATTACTATTATAAGGATGATCACAAAATGTCCCAGTTCATACCAACTACTTTTGTTTATAGCCATTGTACATAATACAAGACTAATTCCTCTTCAAAATAATTCCAACAGCATTCTGTAACTAGGCGCAGCATCCTTAAGAGATCCACAATAAGTCTACTTTGTGTAATAGCGTAAGCAAGTAAAAAGCAGTCAAAGAGTTCAGTTTTAAATAGCAAATGTAATTTATTAATGGAATTTTTTTTTAGTGAACTTACTCAAAATCTTTCTGGAACTTTAGGATGTTAATCATGTTGCTTAGTTGAAGCTATGATGAGCTCTAATAAGTACCAAGACCCTCAAAATTCAGAGTCGCATTGTCTTGCTGTAGCACCTCCTGCTGGATAGCATTTAGAGCTCTTCATGTAAGCAGGAGAAGAATATATCTGAGGCAACGCCTTCCAGAAGATTCAATAGGAAAAAGGATGGACCCTTCAAAACTAAAAGAAATAGGGCCCCGTCCATCACTTTAACTCTTAAAAACAAAATCTGGCATAGGGTATAAGTCTCTTTAACCTATTACGATTCCAGATCCATAAAGACCTGCCTAAGTCCAACGTGCAAAATGCTTAAAGAAAGCTTGTAAAATTACCTAAAAACTATTTAAAACCCATCAAAAGCACTCAAGCAAAAGACTATTATGGCCAGGCAAGCAATGCCAGTCATATTGGAAATACTATTATATTAACAAAAGCAAAAGTCTGACATAAAGAAAAGCACCTGGAATATGTTTAACATGGTAGCCAGAAGTTTGTGTTTTGAGAATTTTCTGCACTACTACTATGCTCTTCACTTAAGGACAGTTGTACCTCTACAGAAGTTTTAAGTACAGACATATTTTTTACAAACATGAGTAACTACACATAAAAACATCCTCTTTGCCATCAAAAGCTATTCCTGAGATTTTAAAATTCATTCTTCAGACATTTTAAATAGCCCCTATAGCTCATTTTAATTAAGCCCATGATGTAGACCCCATATACAAGTGGAGACAGAAAAAGAGAATAGGCAGGCACTTACCAAAATCAAAATGAAAATAGTATTTCCAATAAAAATGGAGTAACAGTTTCCTACAAAACCGTGAAACCAAGTAAATTGTGAAACTTTAAAAAAAAAAAAATGGGGGTGGGGAGGGGGGAGGGGGCTAGTCTTCAAAACCAAAAGAAAAGCTGACCTATTTATGTCTACTGCCCAAACATGAGTGAATACCAAATGTAAACAAACAACATAAACACTGAAAAGTGCACTTAGGTCTAAGCCCCAATTTCAGTTTCTTTACCAGGCCCTCAATGAAACTGCAGATGTTGATGAGAATCCTCTATAAAAGGAGATATTCCGGCTCTCTGCCCTAAAGAACCCCTATAAAGTGTGCCTGTGAAAAGGCTTCCTTCCTAGAGTGCACACACTGCTTTAAAAAAAAAAAAAAAAAAAAACTTTCACCAGTCCAAATTAATCTGATTCTAATATTCAGCTATCAATTATTAATATACAAATGCTCTTCCTTCTCTAAAGTCCCCAGCTAAAGCATCCACATTCCTAACACCTACTATTAAAAAAAAAAACGAACAGCTCGCTCCCCGGCGATGGGCACATCTTTGAAATCCAAAACACAGCCACAAAGTTCACTGTCAAGGCCAGTGCCGAGGCCCACACAGGCCCGGACCTTCACTCCCATCTGAGATTCTGGAAAGCCATCCATGCAAAGACATCATTTAAAAACGACACAATGTGGACGTGCAGAGTGAGACCCTCCACTTCAAGACCTAAACAAAGAATATTTCCACAGATGACCGGAGCATGATGACACCGGATTCCTCAATGAAAACAAAACCTGCCTACCATTAGCAGTCATCCCCGGGTCTCAACAACTCAACTACTTGGAAATCACTCTCGGCACAGCTGCACCCCACCACCGGCGTGTGGCCTTCTCCGGGGGTGCGAGCCACCGACAAAGTTGAAAGGAGACATTCTTCCCCGGGTGCCCAAATCTCGGCATCCACCCCTCCCCTGCCGGGGCCACCTTGCTGCTACCCACCATCGCGAGCGCGGTCAGGGGGAAAAAAAAAAAAAAAAAAGAAATCCTAACAGCACCGCTCAGCAGAATAAAGAGACCAAAGAGAGGATGACGAGAAGTGTTGGGAACTGCGTGCACGGCGGGGCTGGACCAAACGGAAAGAGTCCCACTCCGCGCGCCCCTCCCCCCCGGCGGGGGCGCGGGCGGGGGAGGGGCGGCCGCGGCCCCTCTCCGAGCGGCCTGCCAGCCCCGGCCCGCGCGGGGTCCCGGGGGCGCCCTGCGGCCGCGGGCGGCGGGGGCGAGTGCGGGAGGGCCGGGCCCGGGGTGAGGGGTGCAGGCCGACTCTCCGGAATAACAAGTTGCAGAAGAAGAAGAATAAGCGGAATTTCCCCAACGCTTCTCCGGCCACCCAAGACAAATGCACCAACACACACACACACACACACACACACACACACACACACACACACACTCGGGCCCGGCAGCGTCAGCAGCCGCAGCTTTTTTTTTTTATTTTTTTTTAACCAGATCCCTCAGTCACCAAACAAGATGGTTTTCCAAAAAAAAAAATAAAAAAAATTTTTTTAAATAATCATAATAAAACTTCCCCCCGACAGCATCCCGGGGAGGGGGGAGGGTGATGAAAGAGCCAAGGCGACCCTGCCCGGGCGGAGGGGCGGCCCCGGCCCCGCGCCCCCCGCCCCCGCCCCGGCCCCCTCCCCGGCCCCCCGCCGGGACAATGTGACGCCCCCTCCCCGCCGCCCCCGGCGCGCCGCCTCTGTCACCCGGAGGCTCCGGCCCTGCACTCAGCGCCCAGGCTCCCGAGGCGGCTCATAAACTTACTTCCAATTTATCCTGGGGAGGGGTGGAGGGCAGAGGGGAGGAAGAGGGGGAGCCCAGGTTTTCCCATTGTCTTTTTTTTAGGGGGGGAGGAAGAGGAAGGGCACGCAGGGGGGCGCCCCGAAGGGGAAGTTATGGCTCCAATCTCAAGTTGACTGCGGGGTCCTGGCGAGCACACCCCCCCCCCTTTACCTCCTCCCTCCCACACACCCCTCCCCTCCCCCCACAACAAACTCCAGGCAGGCAGCCCCTGTTCCTCCCCTCGACAAACACCAGAGACAAGACAGAGAGAGGGAGAGAGCCGGGGGGAGAGGGGGAGGGGGAGGGGGAGAGCTCCTCCAGGAAGGGAGAGAGAGCAGAGTGAGAAGAGAGAATGGAAAAGCTGGGATACTGCACCCTCCTGCTGCTGGCTGGCTGTCCCCCCTGGCAGCTGGAGGCAGGAACTCTGAGCAGGAGAAGCGGGAGGAGGAGGAGGAGGAGGGAACTCTTCTTCATGGGGAGGGAGGGAGGGAAGGAGCCGGGGCTGCTGCTGCTGCTGCTGCTCTGGGCCTCTCGCACTTTTTAGATCTTAGTGTGTTAAAATGGTAGGTTGTTCCCTGCTCCCTGCTCCCTCCTCCTCCTCCTCGCCTCTCCGCTCCCTCTCTCACTCACTCACTCACTCTCTCTCTCTGGGCTGTTTCTTTCCTCCTCTTCCCCAGGCAAAGGGGGTGGGGGAGGAGGGGTGGGGGGAGGCACTGGATCCTCCTCCTCCTCCAGGAGGGACACACTCGGCTCCGGGCCGGAGCAGGAGGGGGGGTCAGAGCAGCAGGAGAGAAACTGTGGGAGACAAACAAGCCCAACTCTTCATCCTCCTCCTCCTCCTCCTCGCAGCAGCAGCAGCGAGCACCGCCAGCCCATTCACCACCCGGCCCCGGGCCGCAGCACCTCCGCCGCCTCAGCCCGGGGATCCCTCCGCCCAGGCCCAGACACACTCGCCCGCGCGGGAGCCCGCCGCGCGGCCCCGCCGGCCCGCCGCCGCCGTGCGCGCCCCCGCCGCTCCCGAGAGCCGGGCGAGAGGGACTGACTGGGGCTGGGAAAGCGGGGACGAGGGCGGGGGGAGAGGAGGCACCGGGGGAGAGAGGGGCACCGCGGGGCGGGAGGGGGCCGCCGGGCCGAGGGGTCCCGCGGCCGGCCCGGGCCCCCGCGCCTCCGCCCGAGGCCCCCTGGACGCACGGGGTCCCCCCCCGACTCCCCCCGGGGGCGGCGGGGCGACGGCGGGGGCCCGCGGCGGCGCTCGGGCGGGCGGACTACTTGACGTGTCGGTGCGGCGAATTTATTTCACTTTGCCTAAGGAACGGGGTGTGCTGCGGCGCCCATTGCCTAGGGAAAAAACCCGGATGTAAAGTGAGTGAAACTAAACTAGAGTGAAGTAGGGCAGCAGCAGCCAAACTCCAGTGCCGCGGCGGCGGCGGCGGCGGCGGCGGCGATGGGGCTGCGCCCGGAGCTGCGGCGGCCAAACTCCGGGGCCGCCGCCAGGATGGGCCGGGGCAGCGCTGCAGCTCGGCTCCGGGGCGCTGCAGCCGAGGCGAGGCCGGCGCCCGCCGCGGCCCCCCGCCCCAAGTCCGCGGCCGGAGCCCGGCTCCCCCTCCCGCCGGCAGGCGCTGCCGATGGGGCTCCGGAGCGGCCCCAACTCCCTCCCGTGCAACAGCCGTTCTCAAGGGCCCGGGAGCCGCCGCGGGGAAGCACCGCAATGAGGGCGCGTGGTCCAGGCGCCGGCAGCAGGATGCCAGCTCCAGTCGGATGCAACATGCCCTCCCGGCCGCCGCTCGCCCGCTCCCTCCCGCCCGCCCCGCCACCCCGCCCCCTTCCCAAATAACTACCCTGGAACCACTTTATTAGCCGCGCCGCGTCCCGCACTCGCTCCGGGGAGGGGCGGGGGACGGGGTCCTCCGCTCACCTTTATTTATTGCTGCTTTCTCCCCCCTCTCCATGTTTTTTATTCCTAAGTTCTTTTGTTCTAAGGGGGATGATGGCATTTACTTTTCTGCTTTGTGTAGCAGGGCAATCACGGGGAATCGGCCACGTAGAATCCGGCGGTTTGTCATATTTTATTAGTGAAAGTATTTTATGCCTAAGTCTACCTCCAAGGACTGTAACATGGAGAACTGCAGGGAGAAAAACACACACACACACAACACACACACACACACACACACACACACACACACACACAACAGCAGCAGGAGAATTCTTGTTTTGAGAGGTTTCTTGGCGGGGTGGAGGGGGTGGGGGAGGGCCTCTTATTTTTTTGGAGGGGGTTTATATAGGTTTTTGTAATCAATAGTTTTCAACTTAAAGCTTAATGTGTTTGTATAGATATACTACTGATGCTAAAATAATCCCAAACCGCAATAAAGAAAAAAGTCCAAAACACTCGATTTAAAAAAAAATAAAAAATCCTTACTGGACAGTGATATTATCTGTCCTGTGCAGCACGCTGGACTTAACATAGTGTTGGCCTTCGAATGTTAAATAACAATAAACCTCAACCTCAACTGAATACAAATGGGGGGTGGGGGTGGTTTTGTTTTTAAGGCTCAGCACTTTTGTAGCATCTGCCACTACGCATTTTCCAGGCATTGATTAGCCATGCAACTCCCACAGGCATGAAGTCCAGTTTCTGCAGATGAAGAGCAACAGTGGTGAGATGATTTGCCCAAAGTCAAACTGAGTCATTGGCAGAACCCAGGCTCTATTTATTACTAGTCTCATCTTTTCCATTGAAATAGTATTTCCTCCAGGAGGTAAACAGTATTTCAAAATAAGTAGACATTCTTTACCTATCTCCACCAGAGGTGCTTTGAGATCCGTGGATATGAAGGTATTTTCTTACTTCTGTGATCTGCAAAATTAACTTTAGTTTCCCAGGGAAAAAAACCTATTTTTAAAAATTCTGATTTCTTAAAGCTAAAAACTAAAGTATAGGTTTTATTTTACATGTGTAGGCCATTTCGCACTTGCAGCTTTTTGTTGAAAAAAAAAAAATCACAGCAGAGAAAGTGTGTAAGAGTTTGAGAGGGAAAATGAAAATCCCTATAAATGATTCAAGAAGCCTGGATGAACTCATAATGTTGTGAAACTAAACCCATAACGCAGACAAGATGAATAACAGGAGGACAGGCTGGGCAGTAAGACCGGGCTTTACCATCTAGAGATAACTCTAATGTATTTAGATGAGAGAGGGAGGCGGAATTTCAAGCTGGACTGACTAATGGTGTCATTTCAAATCAGCCCAGGCGGTCAGAATTTTTTTCAGAGCAATATTGCTGTAGTGTTCTTTCTAGAAAAAAGAGTTCAAAATTTTTTCAGAGTTTCAGAGAAACAATTCAGAAGCCCAAATTGCACCTGAATGTATAAATGACATAGAACAGGGATCAGCAAACTATTTTCTGTAAAAGCCCAGATAGTACGTATCTTAAACTTTGCAGACCATCCAGTTTCTGTCACAACTTCTCAACTCTGCAATTGTAGCACAAAAGCAGCCATAGAAATATGTAAACAAATGAGCCTGGCTGTTTATTTATAGGCTTTGACATTTGAATTGTATGACTTTTCATATGTCACAAAATAATACTTTAATTTTTCAACCATTAAAAAAAAACATTAAAAAACTCTTAGCTCATGGGCCTCACAAAACCAGGAGGTGGGCAGGATTGGGCCATGGGTTGTTGTTTACTGACCTGGCTTTAGAAGACTGAAGTTCATTCAGCTGCTGAACTTCTTGTACCAGAGGTTGCTTGGTTACTAAGATGTTTGTTTAGCACTCAAAAGTCAGTGTCATGCAAAATCATGTTTTAGATACTTACACTTAATTAAAATATTTAACTGGATAATTGTCTAACACTCCTATACCTATCAAACTCTATGGAAAAGAATAGCTTGAGAGTCATCGATAGACCAAGTTTCTATTGACATACTCTTCCTCACTCTAGGATGGTGAACAACGGAACCAAGCAGACTTGGGTTCCAACACGTAGGAAGTATCATCACTCCTTTTCAACTAAGGCACCTTGGGCAAGTTACTTAACCTCTCAGTCTCCCTATTTTGTAAAATGCAGCTATTAATACCTACTTGGTAATGCTGTTGAGAAGACTGAATGAAATAATTCATGAAAAGTGCTTAGCACAGTGCCTGGCACGTGGGACTGCATAATACATCTTTCTCTGTGACCTCAAGTTCATTCTCTGAGTTAACATAGCTCTGGAGGAGGTGAACATGTGGAGTTCCAATATCTTGTCAGTGCAGATGTGGCATATAGGGTCCAAAGAGTCTTGGGGTGATTCCAGTTTGTGGGGTTGGTATTAAGATATATTTTGGTGGGTCTGTCTCAGCTCTAGGTATGCCTAAAGAGACCCACACTTAGGCCTTCTGAACCCGGATGTTTCTCATACAGAAACATAATACCTGGTGGAATTCTTGAAAGGGCTAAATGGCATAAATGCTAAAGAAAAAATGTAACAATTAGTATAAGTTAGTGAAAATCCCAGAAAAAAAAAAGCTGAAAATTGCAAATTTACAATCAAAAGTTTCTTTGAGGCGAATCATTCAACTTCTAGACATGAATGACAATAGCAGGTGCACAATAGAATTTGCTCTCCTACCACCTAGTTACCCTCCAAAACCATTTATCATCCATAAAACCGTGTTGAGCAAAGTTAAAAATCCAATTTTGAATGTTATTAAACACTGAAGTGCAGTTCTAAATATTTATAAAAATCGTCAAATCTGTTAGTGTTTTCCTATATATTCCTGCCTTCTATTCCATGCTTCAGAGGTCATACAGTGTCTAAGAGTACAAAACACCTACAGTTTTCTTCCTGTATTTTCATGGTTTCTATTTTTTACAATTACCTTATTGCCATATATATATGGAAGACAGGAGCTAGGGACTTAACTTTTGTTTGACAGAAAATATTTAACTTATATTTGGATTCTATTGGATGATGTAAAATGTCATTTAAAATGATATAACAGCTCTCTATAAGGACTATCAGTCTAATGCAGAGACATTGTAAATATAGGGGAAAATATAATGGAGACATTATACTATTTACAGTATTAATAGAGGCATTATGTATTATAATGGGGAATGAAGAAGTTTCTTCTAGATTTTCTTATTTTACACTTTTGTAGTAGCATAGTATACACCATAGCCATGGATACATGGCATTTTTGTACTTGTATTTGTATATGTCTATCTCTGATGTTCTGGAACTTGACAGTACTTCAAAGTAATGCAGTACTCCCCTCCCCTCACAAACTAATTGAACAGCTTTCTCATGCAGCTCCCCTGTCCGTGCTTCACTCAACCACTATCCTTTTTTCTACTCCAGGCTGAAAAGTAATCCCATTATCTCTTAAAAGGTCAACCCAAAGAAGATTTGAAGTCTGTCTGGAAACCTGAGGGTCCCACTTCTTTACGGAGGCAGAGAGGGAGGTAACTATTAGAGTTCATCAACTCTTCTTTTCTAATTCTTATTGGGCTGGAGTAAATGAAAACCTGGTTGTAACAACAAAGTGCTTTAAAAAGTAGAGGAGACATATCAATGTGATTTTTAAAGAATTATGACAGAAAATCCCCAGTGACTAGCAGAAGTTGAGTGTATGTTCTTTCTCTCTACTGTCTCAGTGGTTTCTGATCTTTAAAAAATCTTCACATTAACTGCGCTGTGTGTACATTTATGGTAAGTCAAAGTCATAATTGGAAACGGGTCAGGTAACTTGTAAATAAATAAATATTGGCAGATAAGCAGTAGACTCTCTGGAGAATACCTTCAATTGCATTACTTTGCCATAATCTCCAAGGTCAATTTAATCCTAAGCAACTTCAGGTAGGGGTGTGTGTGTGTGTGCGTGTGTGTGTGTGTAAGTAACAGAATTAACTAGACAAGGGTTTCTCAACCTTGGCACTACTGACATTTGGGGCCAGATACTTTTTTGTTGTGGGGGCATTGTGGAATAGTTAGCAGCATTCCCATCCTGGACCCACTAGATGCCAAGAGCACCTCCCCAACAGTTGTGACAGCCCAAAATGGCTCCAGACATTGCCAAATGTCCCATTTCTTCTGTGTGTGTGTGTGTGTGTGTGTGTGTGTGTGTGTGTGTGTGTGTCGGGGGGGGGGGGGTACCATTGAACTAGCCCAAACACCATAGATAGATTTAAGTGTGCATTTGTCAGTGTGTGACTCTGCCCTTCACAGAAGCAAATCCCAATTCCTTTTCTAGAAGTAACTGATGTAGATCAGGGGGCCTAGGCTGAACCTATTGTGAAAATCTAAAACGGTCACAATTAAAGCTCTAGACATGTCTGCCCTAAAGCTGCTGAGCTGCTAAAAGAATCACAGGGAGAGCCTCTGAGAATGGGGATGTTAAAAGAATTTTATCATCTTGTATTTGCACCTTTAGTTTATCTATTATCAACATAAATAAATTGTGTTGTGGGCCTGAGCAGTGACATTATCTAGTGGAAGGTATTCCCAGATTTGGAGTCTGAGAACCTGAGCTGGGGTCTGAGCTCTGCAAATGTCTATCTAATCCCTTTATCTCTCTGCACCTATTTCCTTGTCCAAAATGGGGAAAACAACAATGTTTAACCACTGCATTGTTGTGAGGGTCCAAGCTGTTAGTAAGAAGTGCCAGGACTTGTTCTTGAGGAATCAGGAACTTTGAAATCAGTCGGTCTTGGGTTGACTTTGGGCAAATGATGCACTGTGGTAAGCCACAGTTTCCTTATGTGCAAAATGCAGAAATAATCATATGCCTTCATAGTGTTGTTGTGGAAGTTAAATGAGATAATATATGTCATACATGCTGTATAGATATTATTTTGGTCTTTGGTAAACTGTATCACATTGTACAAATGCATATAATTTTATCATTATTTCTTCTCTATGAGCATGGAAACCTGGAAATCTGAAGAACAAGTTGATGCAACTATATGAGTGAAACCCTGTGATACAATGTAACATCCCAAATTCCAACCAAGTGAAAGCAGCATTCAACAGTAGTGTGCAACCTTCTATCTTCCACGTTAAATCAGGCCACAGGTTTGTTGCAACAACATAAGGTTCTCCTCCCCTTATTGAAATAATGTTCTAATAAGTTTTTTACAACCTCTGTATCACATAAAACACATGGGGTCAGGCAGCATGCCCAGCTAGCACAATGTATGTCCTGTTCTGAACATTTAAATCTGACCAGGTGCTGTGGCAATATTCACCTTCCCCAAGAGCATTGGCAAATGGCATTGCAGTCCTAAAATGAGGTGCCAGGAGGTGTTTGCTAAGTTAAAATATAAATAAGGGGATCTAGGGGTATCTTTTACATAAACTTTTTAATTAAAGTATAACTTTCATATGGAGAAGTGCACAAATCACAAGTTGTGCATTTCATTAAATTTTCACAAAGCAAACACACCTATGTAATTATTAAGTGTTTTTAAAGTTTAGAGAACTCTGTATTAAACATGTTTTTTTATCATTAGAAAGGTAACAAAAAGTTATAATGAATTAAAGCAGTGGAGATTTCCAGAAAAGATAGCAAATGACTGTGCTGGGCAAATGTGATTTTGAATTCTCAAGTGAAAATAATTGCAAAATGATAAATGGCCAAATGTCATATCACTATCTATTACTTGACATGTAGATGCTAGAAAATTAATTTAAAGGGCCTCAGTCTTCTCATCTGTTAAGTGGGGATAATAATGGAATTGTTTTTAGGATTAAATGAAATAACACTTGCAAAGGTTTGGATTAGTTCTGGCACATAAGCTGTGAATAATATAAGTTATTACCCATTTAGGACAGTGTCCTAAGGGACCATAAGAAGGAAGTTACAGAGATCTCAAGAATTCTTTTTTAAAAATAGGGGAAGTTCTGCACAGAAGGAGAGCTGGATCAGAATAGCTAAGGGCCGCCGTCACTGAGCCCGAGGACCAGCAGGGAGGGTCGATCTGTGGTAAAGGCTAGAGAATGAAGCCTGAGAGAAAGCAGGGTACCTGGAGGTGGCAGGCAGGGTGATGAACCAAGAAGCTGTAAAGACAGTGCAGTTCTGAACAGAAAGCCACAGGGTGTACCCAGCATCCAAACAGGACATGACCTGATTTTTCAAAGACCAGAGTAAAGTCTAGGAGTGATTGTTTGGTGTGGGCCTAGAGAGAGAGAAAAGAAAGAAACAGCAGCCACTAGAAACATAATCCCAGGAATCAGAGCCTTGAAAGGGGCTTCGTTTAAGACTATATTCAAGACCAAGGGACTAGAGCATCTTATAACTTAAGAATGACCTCAACAATAGATCTTAAGGCCTAGCATTCCTTCATATTGAAACAAGATGTCATTCTGCACTTGAATCCACTTGGATCCTGAATAAGAGAAAGAGATAACTACTAAGAAAGAAAAGAATGGAGGGAGGCTGAGTCTCGGAACCCACGCCTGGCAGAGAACTCTCTCCCTCTGGATGATGACAACCGAGGTTACCCCAAATCCAGCCAGCAATCGGATTTGTCACGGCTTCATTATCCCAATCTTGTAAATGACCTATCATTGCTCTAAGGGTCTTTGAAAGGAGGCAATTTGGTTTCTTTTCCCTTGATTGGTTGTAGGAGATGCATCAGTGAGTGTATAAGATTCAGCAAGGTAATTTTGGTGAATAACTGTGACCCAGTGTTCTCACTTTCATGAAACATCTGTCACTGATGGATGAAGAGTATGAAATAACCAAGCCAGGGATGGTAAATATGTGGCCTGTGGGTTTCTGAGAGCCTGAACTTGGTCTCAGAATCCTTCTCAGCACAGTGCCTCAGGCAGGCATTACCAACTGTTTGGAGTTTGCTCAAGAGAGAAACCCATTTTGTCATACCTGGATTTCCCCCTCACCCCTTGCTATAATCAGTGCACCTATCTATCCTACCCAGTAATCCCAAAGCCCAATATAAAGGGTATCAGGTATGAAATCTGCCTGGCTCCAACCCTATACATTTAAAATAAGTCCTGGGTGGGTAACAATTGCTTCTCTATTTAAGGACCTATTCTCATATTTCTGAGTTTATAACTGACTTATGACCTATAAATAGTCACATCAACCTCAATGCTGAATAATTTACGTAGTGAGGTCATGCTCTCTGGATGAACCTGACACCCATTAGTGTTAGAGTAGTCAGCCATGTGCAGCCAAGCGAGAACACATGGAGAACCACACCTCCAACACGGGAGTGGACCAGCGGAAGGCTTAGATTGTATGGCCTCCTTTACGCCCGTCGGGCCAGTATTTCTCTTTAGCTTCATTTTCTTCCCCTCTAAAATGGGATATTATTTTCCCATAGGTGGCAACATTAGGAGAACTATCAAAATAATAGTTTCTAAGGTTCTCAAGCTCAAAAACTTTAGACTCAAAGCACTATTTCTGTAGCTATAGTCCTCTTTGATGAAAGCCATCACAATGAATCAGATTGACTATTTGTGTTTTACACTTCAGTACATAAATAAGCCAAATCTCTTCCAAACTCTAGTTAATGAGATGAGAGAAAGGTTGTTAACAGCTTTTGGGTACAGTGCATGTTGTTCCCATCCATAAAATGGGCACACCATACATCTCATTTCCCTCTCCTGTAGAGAACTAATAAGAGAAGTTGCAAATGAATGAGTGTACTAAAAACGGGTGCTGTCAGTGAAAGAAAGAGGAATTAATTAAATTTTAATTTTAAATTAAAATAACACCAATCTACCATCCCAGCACCTGGGTTGGTGATTGAAACCAGGGGTAGTCATGGGTTAGGGACTTTGTGCTAAGAATTGCATTGGTGGATATGGAGAAACAGTATGTTCTCCTAACACTGAGAACAAGAGTTTAAAAACATGAAGCATTTTCCAGTAGCCACTTGGGGACTGCTGACTCCCCAGAGGTGCAGGGGTTACGAATCTCTGAGCCACAAACACTTTATTTTAATACTACTTCCTCAATTAGCATAAGCACAAACTTATTATTTTTCCAAGTACATTGTGTTGTCGCTGTTCGTTTAATAGAAAAGAAAAACTCATTCCAATTCAATCTGGATGAATATTACATTTCCTTTGATAAACGTCAGTGGGCTGATGGGAACAGACCCATTCCAAGCTGAAATGCTGGGACCTAAGCTTTGTGACTAACTGTGCCTAAAGACAGCTCATTTCATCTGGGAGTGTCCTCGCCTTAGCGGTCGAGGCAAAACCAAAAAGATCACAGCACAAAATCAACTGAGAGCCTGACAACATTAACGCAGCGAGCTTATGCTCATCTGTTATTGGAACTTGAGTCAATTTATACAAATGTTGTTTTAAGGGAAAATGCTTTGTCTGAGTAATTGTGAATAACCAGAAAAGGCAAGCAAACAAACAAACAGAAATAGAAGAGCAGGTAATACAAGCGGGCTATCCTTCCAACCAAATTTTAGATCAAATTAAAGTGTCTCATTTTTTTATTTTACCAAATTTACAATTTCAGAGAAAATTTATCCTCATTGCTGATTGGATTTCCACTGACCAATAGCTCCCAAAGCTTTAAATCTGAAATTTTCTGCCTTTTCAGGTGCACTTAGCTGTTTGACACATTGGGGTATCTTAAATTTCTGTGAACTGGGGATCCAGATTCCAGTTCTGCTACTCACTGGCTGCACACTTTAAAAAGTCATTGGTTTAACAGGTTTCAGGGTTTTTTCATCTTTTACATAAAAATAGTTGTATCTTAACACACCAGGATAATTGGGGGATTTAAAACAGGGATCTCTAAAATTTTCCTAATGAGTTTTTCTCCCATGAAGACTTATTGTTAATAATTAACAGTAAAAAGAACAGTTGCCATGTACTAAGCATTCTGGGTCAGATGTTTTGTACAGACTTAAAATAGATAAGAAAACTGAGCAGAGGTGTTAAGTAAATTACCTAAAATCACATAAATAGTAAATGGCAAACCTGGGATTCCTGCCCACGGCTATTCAGATTCTGGGTCTGTTTTCTAATGAGAATTCCATGAGCCAAAGGAATGACTCAGGCAAGGCTTTCAGAAGAATGAATGGATCCTGAGACAGGGGTCTCTAAGGAAGAGCAACTAACCTTCTCCTTTGGCAAAAAAGAGAAGCAAGTCTCTGTCACAGGTAGGAAGACACATGATATGATGGAAGATGTGGGATTTGGAGTCCGATTGGCCTGGGTGAGAATCTTGGCTAAGTTACTCCTTAGCTGAGGGGCCTTGGACAGGTTGTTTATCCACTCTTAACCTCATTTTTCTCATCTGTGAAATAGGGATAATAATACAGAGTTGTTTCAGTGGTTAAAAATAATCCATGTAAAGTGTCTTGCACATAGTAGGCATGTAATATGTGGCAGGCAAAATATAAATCCTTTCATAAGTACTTTGGCAGCATTTCCCAAAGTGTGTTATTAATAAGCATTATGTAATAAAAAGAAAAAAAGATTAAAGCAATTTTATGTGAGGGGGCAATTGGTCAAGTAAATCTGGGAGAGGCTGTTAAGCAAAGTTAAACTGTTTATTTACTGCAGGACTTCTTAGAGCATTGGTTCTCAACCTGTGGGTCGCGACCCCTTTGGGGGTCGAACGACCCTTTCACTGGGGTCGCCTAAGACCATCGAAAAAAACATATATATAATTACATATTGTTTTTGTGATTAATCACTATGCTTTAATTATGTTCAATTTGTAACAATGAAATTGGGGGTCACCACAACGTGAGGAACTGTATTAAAGGGTCGCAGCATTACGAAGGTTGAGAACCACGGTCTTAGAGTCTTTAAATTACAAAAATGTAATTCTCCAAGAGGAAGCATTTTCCCAATTTATTTGATTATATAGCCCCATTTTTATGGGAATCTTACAGGACTGGTATTCTTGGAACACAGGTTAGGAAGCACAGATCTGGTGAGTTTTGGAAGAAAAAGTTGGATTCCTCAGGTCCAGCCATCATTTAGCATTTACTATTTTGTGGTACCTCCAGAGCCATCTCTCATCTCCATTTATTTCTCCCTAAAGTAGGACTTCCCCTTTTTACAAATGTCAC